TGTGCAATTTTAGGGTTCAGCAAAAAAAAAATCGTACCACTCGGATCTAGCTTCATATTGAATCAAGCCATCGTGATTGGTATCCATCTGCTGCAGCAGCCGATCAACATCTTTGAAGTCTGGCATGATCTTGTCAAAGAGCGCCAGCAACTCCTCCTTCGAAATGATGCCATCGTGGTTCCGGTCAAAGCGCCTCCAATGAGGGGATGTGACCCCACATCTGTGGGATGGCTGAAGATGATCAGGATAAATTGTTGATAATTGTTACATATTGTTACATTATGCTAAAATTGCTGTGCGGTTGATGGGTTCGACCCATCCCAAAAATACGAAAAGATACGAAAAGCGTCGAAGAGCAAAAGGGATCATGCCAAGTGGGATGAAACACCAAGTCTTGCTGGGAGACTTCTCCCGTCAATCACCACGCTAAAATCTGGAGGCCTAACATAAAGAGTCTGAAAATATGGTGCCTCTAAATCCACTGGTACCTACTGGTTAGTCATATTTAAACTCTAAACATACGTATTGCAATAGCCTTTTGAATCTTTTGATCTTTTGCGAATATTCCACACATGCCCGAATATGTCCAAATTATATATCATGATATCATCATGATATATCCCATCGTCAGACCGGCCTGAAAATGTCGGTGATGAATTTCCCGTCCATCCCTCTGCTCGGCTTTCCGGTCGTGTCACCTGTCGCAGGTTGCGCTGTGTTCGAGCGAAACGAGGGAAACTGCACGAAACTGCCAAGGCACATGTCAAGAGAAGGCATCAAACTTCATGGCGCTGAACTTGAGCCACAACGGTTCAAACACAAGCTGGTTAGGTTGGGGACGTTGGGGCTGAGAAAATACAGGCACGTAAAGTGATGCGTTCGTTTGTCAATGGTCAAGTAATGGTCATATGTTCGACCCCATAACTTCCCAAGACTTGGCGCCAACGACTCATTCAATGTTCCCCCATGTTTCCACCAACTCTTAACTTTACAGCGTTCTGCACCGAGCTTTGTCGCAGGTGCAGTGATGGCAAATTGCCAAATGTCACATCGCTTTCTGTACAAAAGATGTACAAAACTGGAGGGAGAAAAAAAAATAGCTGAATCTTGGCACCACCTCAGCTCCAGCGGAGCTGTTTTCAGTTGATGCTGATTCAATCCTTATCTCTTGGAAGTTCTGCCCTCTCTGCCTTTGTCGACTGACAAAAAGACGTGCTCCTTCGACGTGGTACGCGCCACTATTGAGCAGCATGTCTTCAAGACGTGGGTTTCATCCCAGGAACCATAGCAATCACCGCGTCGGATCACAGTGAAGGTTTCAGCGTCTGATTCCGTGACAGTCGCCAGATAGCTCCCCCCGCTGCCACCCCAACCATCTCCCTGCACCCGCACCAAGAAGCCGCGCTCGGGAGGGTCCAGAGTATGCCCAATGCGCGCCCGTGAAACGTTTGACCCAGAACGGAGGCAACAGGCCGGCCTTTGACTGGAATCATTCCTGACAGTTTGCTTTCCAACAAGGCGATGCTTCAAATGTGACTTCCGGACAGGAGGGTGAAGCATAGGCGAAATTGCATCTGCCTGGCCACCCAATCCCTGGCCAACTAAGCTTTCACCAGCAGGTTCACTGGCAGGCTCACCTGAAGGTTCAGAAGGTTCAGCTGGCACCAGCTGCTCCTGGGCGATCTGTGCGTCCACTGCATCTTGGGTGTCCCTTTGCTGCGAGGCACCAGCGTCCTGCGACTGCGAAGCCTGCGAAGCCTCGAGTTCCGTCTCTGCTGTGCTATTGGACCTCCGCTGAGGAGTCTGCTGCGGAAGACAGTCTTCAGACCCAAACCAACATTGCGTCTCTGCTTGATCCACACATGGTTTTGGCAGTTTTTGCTCAAACGCTGGCCTCTCCATGGCCGGTGGATCAGCAGTACCTGATGGCCTCATATTTGCAGCAATGTCGTCTCGAGACTTCTGGTTCTCAATGGCATGTACCACTGGAGGTTCCTTCATGCAAATACCTCCTTGTTGGCTACCACCATCAAATGAAGCAATTGGACTCCTGAGCGATTCCGTATCAACACAACTGCCCGGCGCCAAGTCGGATGCTGCCCTCAAGACTCTCTTGCGCTTTCCTGCTGGCCCATCTGCATCCACTGCTGTGCGGACGCTTGCCACTTTCTGAGCATCAAACACACCCAGCATCACCTCTTGGCCTTCCACTGCTGCAGCTGCTTGTGAATGATCCACCTGTTGGCTCTGCAGTTGAACTGTCATTTTGCGATCTGGTTGGCTAGTAGGGGGAGTCGGGAAACCCGGAATGGTAGGGCTCATGTCTGCAGCAATGTCGTCTCGAGACTTCTGGTTCTCAATGGCATGTACTACTGGAGGTTCCTTCATGCAAATATCTCCTTGTTGGCTACCACCATCAAATGAAGCAATTGGACTCCTGAGCGATTCCGTATCAACACAACTGCCCGGCGCCAAGTCGGATGCTGCCCTCAAGACTCTCTTGCTCTTTCCTGCTGGCCCATCTGCATCCACTGCTGTGCGGACGCTTGCCACTTTCTGAGCATCAAACACACCCAGCATCACCTCTTGGCCTTCCACTGCTGCAGCTGCTTGTGAATGATCCACCTGTTGGCTCTGCAGTTGAACTGTCATTTTGCGATCTGGTTGGCTAGTAGGGGGAGTCGGGAAACCCGGAATGGTAGGGCTCATGTCTGCAGCAATGTCGTCTCGAGACTTCTGGTTCTCAATGGCATGTACTACTGGAGGTTCCTTCATGCAAATATCTCCTTGTTGGCTACCACCATCAAATGAAGCAATTGGACTCCTGAGCGATTCCGTATCAACACAACTGCCCGGCGCCAAGTCGGATGCTGCCCTCAAGACTCTCTTGCGCTTTCCTGCTAGGCCAATCCCATCTGCGGGGTGGTGTGGCGATGGTGCGCCTTTTGGAGGTCTGCTGATCCTGGATTGCGCAAAAGGAAATAATGCCCGGATCCCTGTGGATGGGGATCCGCCCAAAAGTAAAACTAAAGCTGCATTTCCTTCTCAATCCCATCATGCTAGCACCACCGAGCCTGATTTCACAACCCCATGCCTTTAGTCCTCTGGAACATTTACATCAGTTCCATAGGGGGGGGTTCAAAGCCACCCCGCCCGAAAAAAAAAAATACTTTACTTCGTGTGATCCCCACCATGACATTTATACATTTTGTTACTGGCAAATCTTCTGGCATTCTATCTGACATTTTATCTGGCATTCTATCTGGCATAGCTTCTGCAGTATGTTCTGGCATATCTTCTGGCATTCTATCTGGCATATCTTCTGGCATTCTACCTGGCATATCTTCTGGCATATGTTCTGGCATATCTTCTGGCACTCTATCTGGCATTCTATCTGGCATATCTTCTGGCATATTATCTGGCAAATCTTCTGGCATCCTATCTGGCAAACATTCTGGCACTTTATCTGGCATACCTTCTGACATTCTATCTGACATTTTATCTGGCATTCTATCTGGCATATCTTCTGACCTTCTATCTGACATATCTTCTGACATTCTTTCTGGCATATCTTCTGACATTCTGTCTGGCATATCTTCTGACATTCTTTCTGACATTCTTTCTGGCATTCTATCTGGCATATCTTCTGACATTCTATCTGACATCTTTTCTGACATTCTTCATTTGCTCGGACAACTTGTCTGACATTCTTTCTAACTTTCTTCTGCGCATTCTTTGTCCCATATCTTCCTACATGAGGTCCGGCAGGGAACACTTGGCGTGGATACTCGCTGGTTGAGGTCCGGCAGGGAACACTGGGCGTGGATGGTCGTGGTTGGGTCCGGCAGGGAACACTGGGCGGGGATGGTCGTGGTTGAGGTCCGGCAGGGAACACTGGGCGTGGATGGTCGTGGTTGAGGTCCGGCAGGGCACACTGAGCGTGGATGGTCGTGGTTGAGGTCCGGCAGGGCACACTGAGCGTGGATCGCGGTTGAGCAGGAGGAGGAGGAGGAGAGGAGGAGAGGAGGAGGAGGAGGACGAGGCAGGAAGAGGCAACTGACATAAAATCTAGCAACCCTCACCTGGCAGGTGGGGAAAAAACAATCTTCCAAGGCGAAGAGTCTGGGACTGGTTGTCGTGCGACTCTTCATCCAACGACCCCTTGTCAGGAGCCAAACTCGAAGCAGCTCGGAGGACTCTTCCCTTGGCATTTCGGTGCTTGGCAGGTGGGGTGGCATCGGAATGTTCAGAGACTTCTGGAGTTTTCACCACCAAGGTGGGTGCGATGCTGTCCATGGACATCTTGGGTTCCAACTGATGGCCCTGAGATCCTGGAGTCGCTCGAGTCACTTGAGCCACTTGGCTCTTCTCCATGTGACTCGAAGATCTCCTCAGGTTGCGACTTCCCTCTGTCTCTTGGCGGTTAGTAGCTTCCCACTTGGCGCCTCGTGACAGAGTCATGGTACACAAACTGCAAGGCTTCGAACCCCTGGAAAGATGTGCTGCGGATGCAAATCCAGATTGCAGAATGTGAAGCAAAAGTCACACAATTGCAGCAAGTTGTCAACTGTTTGCAGGTCATTTTCCTTGCCGCTTCAAACGTCGCTCGGCACCGAGTCGCTAGGCCATGGTCACCAGGGCCGAAACCTTGGGTATCGAGAGCTCACATGGAAGTCTAACTCAGAATTCTTGAGTTGAAGCATAATCTCTCTTAAGCGAGTGCTTGGCTGATAGTGTCCTTTAGTTCCTTTAGTTGGTTTCAACTTTTCAAGGGCATGGTTCAAAATCCGAAGCGCCACCCTGCTCTTTTTGCAATCGAACCATCTCAAGGTCGGTTTCTTGACAGCATGTCGTGGGTCTTTTCCACTTGGCCAAGAAGCTAGACCAAACGTAAAGCCTGGCATGCAGTTGATAGTATAAAGCAGTTGCGCTGACCTGCTACCCATGCATATATATATATACATACATAGTATATGAAATAGGGATGAATAGATAGCGGTGAAATTGCAGAAACCATCCAATGTCTACTTCTTCACCCGTAGCCTATCTGCCACACTATCGCTTCACGAGCGCCTGTCAAATGGCCAGCATGATCCACTCCAGTCAGTCCTCGATCTCCTCGAATGGACTCCCATTCCTGGAGCCGGCGTAAGCCCCGTTCAAGTGTGTTTTCGAGAAGCTTTTGGGGCACATGAAAGATCATGCAAGCCAAGGTTCTTGCAGCAGAAACTTGCCAGTCTGGAATAAGTTCAACCCTGTCACTAACCTCGCAGCTCATCTGGTGACGAAAGATCCATCACACGCGCTATGTTCTTTATAAACTTGGAGGTGAAGCATGGAATGAATGGAAAACCCCTTGCTTGCCTCATTCGGGATGAAATTGCTGTGTCCCAAATCAAACTGAAGAGTGACACAGTCCGATTTCAACGCCACCACGAATCCAAATCCTTCCAACATCTTCCAGTGTCATTCCAAAACCCGTCACACGTGGGTTTGTCCGAAGACAAAGTACTCCAGAATCCAGGGGCTAGTTCAGAAGTTCAAAACCTCATATTTTCCTCATTAGAGTTGCAAAAAACAAATGGGTCATACTGTATATTCTGTACATTTCTATACTGGGACAAACCGAAAAAAAATGCCTTCAACCAGGCAACAGCTCCAGCCCCGCGTGTCCACGTTGACGCCGCGCCCTTGGCTCCGACGCGTCTCGCGCGGCACGGGTGCCGGCCAGGCCCAGCAGCGTCCAGAAGCGACGCAGGGAGAGGCCCAGGGTGAAGCCCATCAGCCCCGAAACTCCTCCGGAGGCACCTGGCGTCAGGTCCAAAATTTGCTGAACATGAAAATATGATGAAATGGATTGAAATGGGAAAAGACGAAACCGGAACCCACATCAAAACCTCGACCCCCACACCGAAAGCTCCAGACCCACACGGAACCACCCCAGAACCCGGACCAGAAGCCTGGGCTGAGACCCCTAAGCTAACGCTTTGGGGCAAAAATGATGCAAAGATATTAATGATAGGTGGTGTCAACCTGGAAAATGGGCGAGAGGCAAATCACAAATGAATGAGAGTCCTTACTCCCCATTTGAATCTGTCTTTGACAGGTGCTGAGTCGGTGGATAGATCCGAATTTCTGATGCAGGGAAAAGGGTATCAAAGAACCAGTGCGAAGGGGCGGGTAGCCGCAAAAAAAAACTATCATATCAATCGACATATCATTGCCGATGGTTTGCTGCCATAGGAGCCATATGAATCCGTTCTCGAGCTCACGATAGGAGCAGTCCACTTAGCGGCTGCGTGTCTGAAGCGGTCCCAGATCTGTGCAGATTCTGGCACTGCAGATCCCAGACTCTTCGGCACCGCGGGGATAGATGCCTGCAGTGCCGCAAGCAAAATAGATGGAGAGTATGGAGATATGCAGTATGGTCAGGTACATGGATTCATGTATGGACCGATGGATGAATGGATGGGTGGGCAAGTGCCTCCAGCTGCGATTCTGTCTGGAAGGTACGTCCCCAAGAGTTCAAGCCGGCCACAGCACCGCTCCAGAAAAAGATGCCGTAGACCATTTCAACACCGCAGTTGTTGAACACTGTGAATCCACTGCCTGGCCGTTGATCCATGGTGATCCGCCATGCCATGGGCCCCGCCCCAACTTTTTGGAAATAATGTGCGCTAAATATGCAGAACTAAGAGCAACTAAGCGTAACAACGAAGTGGAAGCAGGAGTTGATTGGGATTACAACTAGTCAGGCTTGTTAGTGAGAACTGCTAAAACCTTCGCAAAGTCCAAATTTCCAAGACAGAACCTGCAAGTATCCAATACAAAGCTTAGGTGCAAAGAATTCCGCAGATGTTGTTCAAAAGATGTTCCAAGTCCTGGTGTATGAACAAATAGCTGATCAAGCGCCACCATTCTCCCCTTTCAAGCGATGGCTGAGTCAGCACCAGCGAGCGATACGTCCGCAGCATGTCTTTCGCGGAAACGAGACGAGGCCAATGGAAGCGCCCTGATGTGGCCTCTTCCACAGTCGGCATCCTTAGAGTAGAGCTGCGGGATGTCACCTTGAAGGATTTAGAAACCATCCAACATCATCCAACAATAGATTCAACTAGTGGGGCATTTGATGGCTTTTGCCACTATTGAATCATGTGAGGGTTAGTCCAGAAATGGGGACTGCCATGTACCAAAAAGATTGCAGTTTGAGTGAGGAAGATGATGACAGGTGCATTGATAAATGATAATCCGAGAGATGTTGGGCCCTATTTTCGGATCCCATTTGCAAAGCTGTCCATCAGCGGCAAAGAGTCGCCAGCAAGCCTGCCAAAAGAGGCGAGATGCAAAGCAAATAGTCCCGCTCCCGCTGCATTCTCTTGACATCTCTAGCTGCTATAGCTCAACCATTGCATTTTCAGAGCCCTCGGGACGACGGGACTGTGGGGTTGTTCAGGGCCCAGAAAATGACACCTGAGGGATCTCATTTCAACTCAGGGCAGCTAACTTGCTCCTTTCCTTGTGTGCTTAGATTTTGGCGACTTTATCTATGTGTACCAATCGCACACAATATCACAAAAGGAGTGATGGGGGTGCCTCATCTTCTTTACTTTCAATTTACTTCAACCTTATCTTGAGGTCAATGCAGCGAGCAAGCGCCCTTGAAAGCTTTGGCACTCATTGCATGTGATGTTCCAACACTTCAACACAGCCAAATCTGGCGCAGAAAAGCTGAGTTTTTGCGACCATCAGCCATAGGTGCGACCAAGGAGTTAAACCGCAGCATCTGTGTTGGAAAGAAATCAGAAACATGAGGTATTCCTCTTCGCATCAATGGCACAGCTCCCCCAGGGAGCCACATGTGTTGCAAACATACATATAAAGATACAAAAAAAAAATATCCACAGTGTGAAGGCTGTGGACCCCCCAAGGGCTGGAGATATTAACATTGGTGTAGCCATCCCGGTTTCCGGGTTTGGCTGAGACCGGACTCTTCATCCGTGTTCTGCGCCACTGCAAGGGAGCCGAGGGCATCCATAGTTTGACAACTGGGTATCAAATCGGGATGGCCGTGGTGTATGGGGCAAATGGACAACAAAGTCCGCAATTTCTTGATTTGAAGCTGCGAATCCAATTTCGTGAATGGATTCTTCTTCGCCATTGCCAAACAGAAAGTTTCAAGAGGGTGTCCACTGAATGACATGAGGAAACCTCCCTTGCAGCAAAACGGAGTGCCAGGTTCGTTCTCGCCTTGAGGCGGTATATAGAACAAAGTCAACATGCGCTTCGGTTTACCTTTGAAAAAAGAATGCAGTGCTAACTGCCCAGCTCAGGGGTTGTCACAGGTCCAGGGTCGTTGGAACAAGCTGGTATGCTGAGGATGCGAGTAAACCTCAGCATCTCAGGACTGACTTGAAATGACCTGGCGATGCTCCAAGCCCTTAGGGCGCCTTACCCTGCACAGCCAAGGCACTTTTGCAGAAAAGCCGTGGCATCGTCAAGGCGATGTGTGAAGAAGGTGCTGGGTATCACACCCTTGAGGCCGCTTCTAGGATGCTCCTGGACCACGTGGAGATCTTGGAGCTCAGACCACCCCAGGTTGGATGGGTTAGATGCACTATGTGATCTCATCTGATTTGCAAACAAGAAAAAAGGCCAAAAACGCCCTAACTGGAGACCCTGCTGAACTTGTCCTGCAGACGTTTCTTACACCGTCTCCGGTGTGCAACCAAGCACCGAGGGAAGGCCTGGTACAACATCGAGAGACCCAAGTTTTGAGTGTAGTTGTTTGATGTTTGTATGTGTGTGTGTGTGTATGAATGTATGCGTGTGCATATATTAATATATATGTGTGTGTGTGCGTGTAACGTATGTAGATATCCACCATACATTGGATACGTGTACATATATACAGTATATATACATGACATATCATGTGTGCGCCCATGGAATACCGTAATAGTAATAGATTTAAAAAGATTGCAGTGAAACAGTGAGTCACATGGCTGAAATCGGCCAGAAAAAAATACAAAAACAAAAACCAAACGAATAAGTATATACCATATATATGTGTGGTATGTGTATATATATATTTATTGCTGATAAAAATCAATATAACAACAAGAATAACGGATAATAATCAGCAAAGAAAGTTTAGTTAGGAAAATTCCGAATTACAAACGATGGTCATGGCTGGCTTTCTCCCCATGATGCAACCACATCATCATGCAAGCAGTTGGGAAGTGTGAGAGATCGGGAACGCGTGAATTCAGGCTTGAAAACGCTTTCGGGGCAAAACCCTGTACGTTGACAAAATGTGCCCGAGAAGTGCAAGAGCGAGATTTCACAAAAAAAACGTAAAAACTGAGGGGGCCGGGGCACTTTTGGAAGATGAGGCCGGCAAAAGGCGCACGAGAATGCAACAAGAGCTCGATTTCGCATATTTTTTTTTTTAAAGTCCGTCTCGGAGCACTTTTGGGAGATGAAGCCGGCAAAAGGCGCACGAGACTGTAGCGAGAGTATCCATGCAACTCCCCAAATCCTCAGCTGTTCACCGGACAAAGATCCGACCGATCAATTAAGAGAAGCTTGAATTCACGGTGTTCCTTCTTTCTTTCTTTCTTTCCTTCCTTCTTTCTGTCTTTATTTCTTTCTTTCTTCCTTTCTTTCTTTCTTTCGTTCTTTCTGTCTTTCTTTCTTCCTTTCTTTCTTTCTTTCTTTCTGTCTTTATTTCTTTCTTTCTTCCTTTCTTTCTTTCTTTCGTTCTTTCTGTCTTTCTTTTTTCCTTGCTTTCTTTCTTTCTTTCTTCCTTTCTTTCTTTCTTTCGTTCTTTCTGTCTTTCTTTCTTCCTTGCTTTCTTTCTTTCTTTCTTTCTTTCTTGCTTTCTTTCTTTCTTTCTTCCTTTCTTTCTTTCTTTCGTTCTTTCTGTCTTTCTTTCTTCCTTGCTTTTTTTCTTTCTTTCTTTCTTTCTTTCTTTACTTCTTTCATTCATGATTTCATTCATTCAGTCATTTGATTCATTCAATTAATTCAGGCAGTCATTCATTCATTCACCCATTCATATCATTTCATTTATCCATTCATTCATCCATTGATTCATTCATTCATTCATTCATTCCATTCCATTCCATTCCATTTCATGTCATGTCATGTCATTTCATTTCATTTCATTTCATTTCATTCATTCATTCATTCATTCATTCGTTCATTCATTCATTCGTTCATTCACACATTCACACATTTCATTTCATTTCATCTCATTTCATGTCATCCATTCATTCATTCATCCATTCATTCATCCATCCATTCCATTCCATTCCATTCCATTCCATTCCATTCCATTCATTCATTTTATTTCATTCATTCATTCATTTCATTTCATTTCATGTCATGTCATTTCAATTCATTCATTCATTTCATTCATTTCATTCATTTCGTTCATTTCATTCATTTCATTCATGTCTTTCATGTCATTCATGTCATTCATGTCATTTCATGTCATTTCATTCATTTCATTTCATT